TAGTGTTCTTCTTTTGCGGATTCCAAAGATTTGAGCATGGAGTCTTTGACAGAGTTCGAAAGCTACTCGTGATCGTTGATTTGACATGGATATTGTGGATTCGACGTCAAGCTAGTCAATTTTGAAACGAAGGCGTTGGTGCAAGAGACACGAATTGTTGAAGACAATTTTACAGAGTATAGGTCAATTATTTGGTAAATTTGTGTTCCTTCTTTCTTCATAGTAGATTGAGTAGTGGCGTTTCGCCCGTGGTTTTTTTTATTACAATTAGAGGAACTCCAACTGCGGTTTTTTCCACGAAAAAATCGTTTGTGTCGATTTATTATTTGTGAAACAACAATTTAAATCACGTTCGTACATGCTAGATGATTTAGATTGTTAGTTTTGATTGTTTGATAATTGTTGTAATTAAATCTATTATGAATGACGAATTCGCGTAGTTTTGCAGGTTGAAACAAAATGAACCTATGTGGCATGTACTTTCGCAGATAGCCCATGATATACTAACTATTCATATTTCTACAGTTGTTTCTGAAACTGCTTTTAGTACAGGGAGACGAGTGTTGAGCGATTACTGGAACATACTTTCACCCAAAATGGTTGAGGCATTAATGATATCGAGAGATCATATACATGCACTTACGATAAGACAAAATTATAGTGAAAATGAGAAAATTCAAAGCTATTTGGATGATATATCCTCGGACAACGTGAGTGAAATGTTTGCCTCCTCCGATAATTGATCAATAATTTTTTTTTTTTTACTATTTCATTTTATAATGTTTTTATTAGATTATTAAGGTGAAATATAATGCAAATGATTGGTAGGCTAACCTAATTGAGATGTACTTGACCTATAGTGATGTAATTTCTCTACCATCATCAATAATATATATCTAGTTTTTTTAATGATATAAATTTTTATTATATTTTATTTTATTTTGAAATAAAAATTATTGATTAAATAAATGTTATCTATTTAATTTAATGATTTATTTCGTTTCATTTTGATATATATAAAATTATTCATTTCAAAGAAAGAAAATTACATAATTTCATACTTTTTTAGTGATATATAATTAAATATCACCACATGAAATATAGCGAACATCTCATTAATCTTAACTAAAATATTCTGGTATAATTTTTCTTTTATTTTTTATTCCTAATAAATAAATAAAAAAAGGCCCGATTAGCCCCGGCTCGCGACCTAGGCCTTTTGCAAAAATTAAAAAGAAGCTGCCAGGCTCGGCCCACGACCCTAATTTGAGTGGGCTTAGACCTAGTCTTGGGCCATAATTTTCAACCTGTTGGCTAGCTTGACCTAGCTCGAAAAATGACGGGAGCCCGCAAGGCCCAAAGATGGGTCGGCCTAGCCCGAGCCCAGGTCGGGCCAAGCCCAAATTACACTCCTAATGTCATGTAAGGATGCACAAAAGCCTAGAAAACTCATGAACCAAAACCAACCAACCATAATGGCTTGGGTTCGGTTGACTTGGTTTTTTTCAATACTTTTTTTTATTCGAAGTCTTAAAAATTATGGAACTGATAGGATTAGTTTGGTTATTGGTTTAGGCCATGCCTGAATCGAATCAACCCAGGACCCAAGCCTATATATAGTACATGAAATTATATTTATACTAAGTTATCTTAATATAATTAATAGAAAGTAAAAACTATGGTGGACATTGTTACGCTTAATCCTGCCATGTCAGATTTTTTTTTTTAGGACAAATCATACTCATTCTTTCATTTTTACCTTGGTGGACATTGTTACGCCTAATCCTGCCATGTTAGAAGTTTTAATTTTCTTTTTGTTATGTTAATATGTTCAAGACATGTTTATTGTAAACATTTATTGTTGAATTGATTTTTAAAAATTTATCATGTTGCAAAATCGAAATGTAAACTAGTTTTTTCAATTAAAGGTTACTGTTAGAAATGTAGTGGAAACGTGGATTCAACTCGAGCTACATTAAGGCCAAGTTTGGAAGACTAAATAAGTACACTTTTTGACTTTTTATGAAATATGGGTTAGATTCGGGTTGGGTTTGAAGTGATGTGTTAGAGAGGTGATGTGACCTAAATAAGATGATGTGACTTAAATAGGATAGTGACTTTTTGACTTTTTAGATTTTTTGGAGGATGCCAAACTTGGCCTAAGTCAGTTTGGTTTGTTTTTAATAGATTAATTTAGTCTGGAGCCTAAAAATCTGGATCAATTGTTAGGGGTTGTTTGCAGTGTCCTAAATAAGTGTATTTTTTGTCTTTTTAAACTAAAAAGTTGAGGGAAAAAATATGGATGTTTGGGTTAACTTTTAGACTTTTTATGGAAAAATGTGTATTAAAAAATTGTATAAATTAGTGTGCATGGAAAAATTAGGATTGATAATTGTGCAAGCGTAATTTTTGACTTTTGATGAATAGTGATAACTTTTTAACTTTTTGAATAACTTTTTGACTTTTTTTACACTTCTCAAACTTGGCCTTATACAGTTCTGAGTTTAGTACTAATCCATACCAAATCAACTCATATACACCAACAAATGTTAAAGACCCAAAACACATGAACTCCTTAATTCACCACAATATATTCCAGGAGATTGTCTTAATGGTTGATGGGTAAATTACAAATATACTCCTGAGATTTGATTGAAACACGAATTACCTCATGTGGTTTTTAAAACTACTTTCCACCCTCTAAGATTTCTAATTTCATAACAAATCGCTCATTTTATTAATAAATTATCAAATCAATTAACATATTGTAATAATATTATAAATATGTTTTAATTAATAATTTAGATAATTTTGTTATTATATAAAATTGCAATTATGAATTTCATTTTTTCAGTTAATTCTGTTAAATAAAAAATTCTGACTATGAAATATTCATAATTTTTCAAATCACAAAAAAAAAAGTTCAAATGATATATTTGTAATTGATTTGTAAACTAATCAATAAACCCACGCTCGCTGTAGAATCTAATTAAGACCCATGTCAACTAGGTGGAAGCCAAGAAAATTGATGTAGTATGACACATCTCAAGGTTTTTGTCCACATGCTGAGAAATTCATAAACAATGAGAAGACTAAAATGGGTATATGATGTGGTCCAACACTTGAAATGGGTTGAAAACCCTAGGCCTCAAAACTAATCATATTGTCCCATCACTACATTCTGATAATGTTTATAAGCCTTAATAATAAAAATAATAAGATTACAAGAGAGAGAGAGAGACCCACCCAGGTGCATGAATGACCCTCCCTTCTCAGCACTCCACTAGCCATGAAAACATGTTGAGAAAAGATGAGGCAAAAGGGAGGCTAAAAGTGGGATTGGGATATATGATGTTTGAAGAAAAAAGGATGACTCTATAGAGACATGAAAATGTAGGCAGTGTTCTGTTTTGAGGAGGAGGATGTTGTTGTTGGTATGAAAAAAGAATCATTTGGATTAACTTTTTTATATTTCTATATATATATATATATATTGAGGAATCAGCACTTTGTTTATGATATTTCAAGGTTGGGCCAAAAGTGGGTTTGAGAGTTGGAATTCATTTGATTGCTTACTAGAACCATGTAGAGCCATAAAGCTACTACTCCGAGTCATTCTATATTATATATTTTAGAATGACCTGTTAGAGGGAGAGATTCATAGAAGGTGATAGAAGATTCTCATTCTCAATTTTCACATTTGCCTTATGCCAGGGTGGTGAACGGTCATGGGGCCTTTCACATTGACTTTTTTTTTTTCAGATGAGCCAAATACATTCGTTCCCCCACCCGCCCGAAAGAAAAAATACAAAAAATAAAATAAAATAAAATCCCTAATTCTCAATCTCGTAAGTAGAGTTGGCAAACTAAGCTCAAAACTATAAACTCGATTAATTTCGCCCCCACTGAACTCATCCGAATTTATAAACAAGTTAAATGAGTTGAATTATAGAAATACATTTAAAATTTGATGTAAAAAATTGAAGTAATGAATCCATCATGATATGCACAACCACCACTACCTCCTCTAGCACTATCTCCTGCACCGCCACTGTTATTGTCACCATCACCAACACCACCCACGCACCACCGCTACATTCTCTAGCACTATCTCCTGCACTGCAACCATTATTGTCACCATCACCGGCACCACCATTTCCACCCCACCACCATTAAAAAAACAATTTAATAAAATAAGCGGATTGGTTAGATTAATTTGTCAACTTACTCTCTATTCAATTCAGACTGTTTAATCAATCTCATTTATTAAATATGTATATTGAAATTAATTTATTTTAAATGCGTAACCCATTTCAACCAGTTCAATTTGCCACCCATATTTAGTAACTTAGCTGCAGAGGTGGACCAACCTCATGAAGGTTTCCTTAATACTGAATTCAGCTTAATCAGTAAAAATCTTTGCCTTCGTTTCCAAGTTCTCATTGACCCACCTTCCTAACTAATAATTGAAGTAGACTTTTACTTCATTTGCAAACACTTTCTTCACCTTCTGTGCATTCATCTTTTTGGGCCTACAAAATGGTCCCCATCCTGTAAATGCATCTGTGTAGCTGTATTTATACTAAATTTCACAAAAATTGAAGATTGGTGACAAATTGACAATGACAAAGAGATGGTGTTCTAAATATCCATTAAACTAATTGTTTAATAGATTTAGCCCTAATGGGTCATAAAACTCCAATCACTATCAACATGATTATAGTTTAATTTGCAAGAGGAAAATGGAGAGCCTTTTTTCCCTCCTCATTTGACTTCAAAAATAGATTAGTCCTAAACCAAGCTGAGAGAGAGAGAGAGAGAGAGAGAGAGAGAAGCTAAGATAGCATTCTAGTTTGACAAAAGAGTCAATGAAACATAAAAGAGTATTCAATATCACTATACTATTGTACAGAAACAGATTGCATAACTCCAAATAGAACATACCCTTCATGAGTCATGAGTCATGAGTCATGAGTGTAGCTTTCCTTTTCTGTGAAGGTACCCCCAGGCCCCTAAACTTTTTGCCCTTTAAATATTTTCATCAGCATCACAACCTCTTTTAGTACTGGACAGAGAGAGAACCAAAGGGACTAAACCCCAAAAACCCCCCATCTCTCTCTCCCTCTCTCTCTCTCTGCAATATCTAGAGTCATCTGCTGCTGAGGCAACTTCCCATTGATATCAGAAACAGAACCCATATTCTCTCTCACTCTTTCATGCACACAACTCTTGGTCTCTCTCTCAATTAAGTCATGGAAGAAACAGAAGAGGCCAATACAACCAAGAAATGCACTCCCAAAACAAGGAGTTTCAGGGGGAGGAACAGCCCTCCCAACCATCACCACCACCACCATCACTACCAGCAGCAGCAGCAGCAGCAGCTGTTGTTGCAGCAGTCAAATAGGATTGGGTATTGTTTTAATCAAAACCAATACCAAACTTACCCAGCTCTCCTCCCTCTGCCTCCTATCATGCCTCTGCAACTCACTGTAACTCCCCCTCTTCCTCAAAACCAAACTTTCAGATCAAAAACCCATTTGCAGAAACATCCATGGAAGCAGAATAACCCTCCTCTGGCTACCTCGTCAGACCCTGAACCCCAAAATTCTGCAGTCTCACCAGGTAACCTAGCATATTCATGTCCACTTCTGTCTTTGTTCTTTCATATCTTTATTTGTTGTTTTTGATTTTTTTTTTTTTAAATTTCTTTCCTTTCTGTAAGTGCATATATATATATCAGAGATTCCAGAGAGTTTGCATGTTCTCTGTTTGATGCAAACTTGAGGAGACTTATGCCTCTACAGAAAGCCGAAACAACAGAATAGGTTGAGACATGAGGGTATTCCTTTAATTTTCTTACCTTATTTCTAATTAAATCAAGAATAATTTCTGGTGTTTAATGGGATAGTCAATATCCAATTAATAGAGAATATATTTTCAAAACACGATATTATTGCTAATTGCACCTGGAAGATTCTCAAATTTGTGTATTTTTCTTGCTTCTGTAGAAGAAGTTTTGGCCATTGTACCTTCTCACTTGATTGAAATTAGAGTCCTTGAACTTGGGTTGTAATAAAAATGAATCAGTATTAGTACTTAATTATCTTCTTCTATCCCAATACCTAAACAGCTCCAGAGGGGCTTGGACGACAACCCGGCATACCCTTTAGAGGGAAAGATGGAAGGAGGGTTATGGGTTCCACACCACAATCTCTAGTGGTGGTAAGGAGACCAGATTCGGGTGGTGTCGAAGGGGCTGTTATCTCTCTCCTTGCCAATCATTTCCTAGTCCAATTCGATCCCTCGCATCGAATTTTCCACTATGATGTTGAAATATCTCCTAATCCTTCCAAGGAAGTCGCTAGATTGATCAAGCAAAAACTAGTAGAGGACAACTCAGTTGTGCTCTCCGGTGCTCTTCCAGTCTATGATGGGCGAAAGAATCTTTATAGCCCTATGGAATTCCAAAGTGATAGGCTTGAATTCTTCATTTGCCTCCCAATCCCCTCAAGCAAGTCATTGTTGCCATCCAGAGAAAGTGTTGATTCTCAAGAAATGCATCCTCAACTAAAGCTCTTCCGCATAAACATCAAACTTGTGTCAAAGTTCGATGGAAGGGGATTGAGTAGCTACTTGAGCAAGGAGGAAGATGATTGGGTACCACTTCCTCAGGACTATCTCCATGCCTTGGATGTCGTCTTGCGCGAGAGCCCATTGGAGAAATGCATACCTGTGGGACGATCACTATACTCAAGTTCAATGGGAGGGGCTAAAGATATTGGAGGAGGAGCTATTGGATTGAGAGGGTTCTTTCAAAGCCTTAGGCCAACGCAACAAGGACTTGCTCTCAATGTTGATTTCTCCGTGACTGCTTTCCATGAAAGTATTGGAGTGATTGCCTACTTGCAAAAGCGTCTGGAGTTTCTGTGCGATCTTTCTCAGAGGAAGACAAGAGGTTTGGCAGGAGAGGAAAGGAAGGAAGTGGAAAAGGCTTTGAAGAACATCAGAGTCTTTGTTTGCCATAGAGAAACAGTTCAGAGGTATCGGGTTTATAGCTTAACTGAGGAAGCTACAGAGAATCTCTGGTTTCCAGACCGGGATGGAAGGACTTTGAGACTGGTGAACTACTTCAAGGATCACTATAATTATGATATACAATTCAGGAATTTGCCATGTTTGCAGATTAGTAGGAGCAAGCCATGTTATCTTCCTATGGAGCTTTGTATGATTTGCGAAGGCCAGAAGTTTCTTGGTAAGCTCTCGGATGATCAGACTGCAAAGATACTAAAGATGGGTTGCCAAAGACCGAGACAAAGAAAAGCAATAATCGATGAAGTCATGGCAGGGCCAGTTGGTCCAACAAGGTAACTTCAAAATTTGCTAAAATTATAGCTTGAATACTCGTTAGAATTGTTTCTGAGTATTTGAAAATTTTCTTTCTTGACAGTGGCATTCAGGGTAGGGAATTCAAACTCCATGTTTCAAGAGAAATGACGCGATTGAATGGAAGAATACTTCAACCTCCCAAGCTAAAGCTTGGCGATGGTGGTTTCATAAGAGATCTAATTCCTTCCCGCTATGATCGCCAGTGGAACCTTCTGGACAGCCATGTCTTTGAAGGCACTAGAATTGATAGGTGGGCATTAATAAGTTTTGGAGGCAGCGCTGACCAAAAATCCGCCATTCCAAAGTTCATAAACCAGCTATCTCAAAGGTGTGAGCAATTGGGCATCTTTCTCAACAAGAATACAGTTGTTGGCCCCCAATTTGAATCAATTCAAGTGCTTAACAATGTATCGCTTTTGGAATCCAAGCTGAAGAAAATCTATCGAGCAGCATCCAATAATCTCCAACTGCTAATTTGTGTCATGGAGAGAAGACACAAAGGATATGCAGATTTTAAGCGAATTGCAGAGACAAGCGTTGGAGTTTTAAGTCAGTGCTGTCTGTACCCAAATCTTGGGAAGTTGAGCTCTCAATTTCTTGCAAATTTGGCTATCAAGATCAACGCCAAGATTGGCGGATGCACAGTTGCTTTGTACAATTCACTACCTTCTCAAATCCCACGACTCTTCCAGGCTGATGATCCAGTGATCTTTATGGGAGCTGATGTGACCCATCCTCACCCGCTAGATGATTTCAGCCCATCTGTTGCTGCTGTGGTGGGTAGTGTCAATTGGCCTGCAGCAAACAAGTATGTTTCGCGAATGAGGTCCCAAACACATCGGCAAGAGATCATTGAGGACCTCACTGCAATGGTTGGGGAAATTCTTGATGATTTTTATCAGGAACAAACCAAACTCCCCAAAAGAATAATATTTTTCAGAGATGGCGTTAGCGAAACCCAATTCTATAAAGTGCTTCGGGAGGAGTTGCAAGCCATTCAGGCGGCTTGTTCAAGATTTCCAAGCTATAAGCCTCCCATTACATTTGCAGTGGTTCAGAAAAGGCACCACACTAGGCTGTTTCCAAATGAAACTCAAACTCACCAACAATCTTCAACTAGAGACCAGTTCTTGGATGAAAACATTCCTCCGGGGACAGTTGTGGACACGGTGATCACTCACCCGAGGGAATTTGACTTCTATCTATGCAGCCATTGGGGTGTGAAGGGAACGAGCCGGCCAACACATTATCATGTTTTGTGGGATGAAAACCAATTCACTTCTGATGAGCTACAAAAGCTGGTTTACAATCTTTGCTACACATTCGTGAGGTGCACAAAGCCTGTTTCTTTGGTTCCACCAGCTTACTATGCTCACCTTGCTGCATACAGAGGCAGACTCTACCTCGAGCGCTCTGATTCATCCTCAATCTCGCCTTTTTCAAGAAATGCTGCTTCCACAATCTCCCGTGCTGCGCCTCCCAAGGCAACTCCTCTGCCAAAACTCAGTGAGAATGTTAAGAAGCTCATGTTTTACTGTTAATTTTTTTTCTTCTTGCGTTTGAAATGTGTATATTCTTGAAAACATTGGCCTATACACTTGAAATTCAACACAGATGTAGTAGTCCAGGTACCTAACTATATGATCCCATTTGCCAAAGGTAGGTTGTAGTTCCTTACTTGGCTAATTCAAGACAGAATTCCTCATTGACTTGGCATTGTAGGCAATTAGAAATTATTGTAAACGCTCTTGAATGTGACAACAAAATGACAGTGCTAGATTCTGTGGGTAAAAATTCTCTTATGTTCCAAAATATTCACAATTTACAATTTTTTTGATCATGTGAAAAATTGAGAGATAGTCATAGAACAAAGGGACAAAGAAATTTTGGAATAGAGAATATGGTGCACAAATATATAGAGACTATAAAATGTTAATACTGTTTGTTTGTTTGTTTGGACGAATTGAATTAGGGGGATTACAATATAATGGATTATTAATCTTGAAATAAATAGTCCCTAAACTATTTAGTTAAAAATAATATATACTTGATTATTAGTTCAACCTTTATTTTTTTAACTAAATGATAGAGTCTAATTTCATATCTCAATCCCATAAAATAAACACCCCTATGTTGAACAGACTGTTTTTTAGGAGTCATTACCTAATTAGAAACTGAGAAAAAAGTTATTACCTAAACAATTCAACCCACTTCAAAGGTGAGAATTAGGTGGGCAGAGACACCAATTACTAGGCAAAAGTATAATGGGTTTTTCATAATTTAGATGGTTACAAAATGAAATGTGATAACACCTTTGTTTTGGGTAAATATATATCTCTTTACCAAAACACACACCAAGCTGGCACCCATTCAAGTTGGGGACATATGGTGTCATGTCTACACAAATTGTGGATATGGTAAGGAACTAAATAAGGGTTTTCCTAACGCATTTTTAATCAAACTTTTTCCTTTTCTAGCTATAACATAGACATCAATTTCTCAATCCAATATCAAAAGTTACAGTTATATTTCATATAAGAACATGAAAAACATTGCACTGTAGGGGTAATAAACGAGTCGAACGAACTGAATAATTAATTGTTTAAGTTTGATTTGTTAAACTTTTGAGCTGATCTCAAACAAATTTTTGTCGAATTGAGTTAGAGCAGTTTGGTATTTTTATATAGTTTTAGACTTATAAAACCGAGCCAAATGAATAACTGATTGTTCAAGATTAGTTTGAAAACTTTAAGGAGTTTCAATATGTGTTTCAACTTGGCTTGTTTACTTAATGAACTGAGTTCGAATGAGTGTTTAACAAACCAAACATAAGCTGTTTAGTTTGTTTATCACCCTCAATCGCACATAGTTCTCACATATGAGAACTGTTATGGAGTGAACACCACTATTTTTGAACAACTTGGAGCCAGGCTTTCTTTTCACATTATTCCGGGCATGAAAATAATGGAAAAATTGGATTTAATTGTCAATTATCCCAATAAGATTGACTACAGAGAAGTGATGTAGATTATTCAAGAATCAAAGTTAATTTGTGTTATAAAAAGAAGATATCAATGAACTATGAAACAGTTTCACAAGATTCTTGGTCATGGAATTTCATTGAAAAGTAGGAATCCGTATGAAAACTACTATGGAGCTAATGCTTCAAATTTCATTGGTTATAATATATATGTTGCCCTAGTGATAAGAGTATTCTTAATGAAATATAAGATATTGGGTTCAAACCTTACTGGTCTCATTGTGTAATTTTTTTTTAAGATCAAAAAATATGCCACGTAGCATGAGAAGAAGGTTTGGACACCAAATCCACTCTTCACTTAATAATAATAAATATAGATATATAGATAGATGTAGAAAGAATATAGAATAGATAGATAGAATATAAAGATAAAGATAAATAAATAAAGAATATACCAAAAAATAAAGAATATACCAAACTATAACTTAAGATTCTTCTTTTTCTCCCCTCTCCCTCTTGTAGTGGGCATTTTAGATTAAAAATTTTAGAATGCATATGAATATTAAATTTGAAAAAAATGTAATGCAAAAAAAAAAATTCTGAACTGAATGAAAACCAAACAAATAAGACATGCTCAAATTAAAATAGTTTCCTAACCAATACCAAACAAATAGAGGACAGTAACCCCAAACAAACTGAATTAGCAGAGAAAACAATTGGGCAGCTGATTCTAAAACAGTTAAAGATGAAGAGAAGCGTATAAAAGTACAATGATGATAATTGTATGAGCAGACAATACGAACTATATAGTCAAGTCATCATGTTACCATGACAAGTACCTAATTTTGATCAACTAACATTTGCATTTTGGTTCTTAACAAATGACTAGTATTTTCAACCGTTCATTTCTTTTTTTACTAAATTTGAGTAAAAAATAGATTGTTTTCTCAATTTGATACTTCTTCTTCCAACAGTGAGCATCAAAACAGAATTGAGGGAAGTGGTCGACCGGCCGACCAGTAAGGGCAATTTTATTTTATTTTATTTTATTTTTACTTGTTTGAATTTTTTTTGACCGGTTTGAACCTACCTATTTAAAAGGGAACTGGTCGACCGGTTGACAAATTGGTCTCCTCCAACGGTCACGCACAGTAATTTGGTGAAACCTGTATTCTGTTCTTAGTTTGATGATTTTTTTGTTCAATTCTCATTTTGATACTAATTTGGTGAAACCGTTAGAGCTCCAAAAAGTATATTTTTTACCAAATTTCAAATTTGATGCCAAATTTACTTAACCGTTGGAGATGATCTTCGGCCAATTATATTTGTAAATTGTTTCTTTTTTAAATTCTAGAAATAATCAACTTTTTTTTTAATTTTATAAACTACCAAAAATTTGTAACTATTGTTTTCAAATTTTTCTTAAGTTTTATTTCTAAGAAACAAAACAGAAAAGGAAGACCAAGAAAACAAAATGACAACAAAACATATTTATATTTTTAATGTGCAGAGAGAAAGAGAGGGTTGTGGAGGCAGTAGGCATGTATTTTGAGAGGATGAATGGTCATGTTGAGAAGAATGGAGAAAATAAGGAGAGAGAGAGAGAGAGAGAGAGAGAGAGAGAGAGATAAATTAAGGGTCTGCAATGTGTCACTGAGGGAGCATGAATGGTCACATTAATATTGAAGAAGAATAAATAACAGGGCAGAGAAAGAGAAAGCGAAAGATGGAGAGAGAGGAATAAATAAGAGGAGAGAGAGAGAGAGAGAGAGAGAGGATTAAGAAGCAATTTTGGGAACCAAAAACAGACCATGAATGTGACTAAAGGTAATAGAGGATATGTGAAATGGTAATGTATTGTGGATTGTTGGATGTATGTAGGATGTCAGTGTATCATATATACCTACCTATCTGTGCTGTGTGTTGCTGTTGCTATTGCATGCATGCATGACGAATGACAGAAAGACAGAGTTCATTCCTCCCTTCCCTCCATGTAAAAAAAAGGAAGGGTAAATTACACTTTCCTCCTTGAGATTTTTGACAATTATATGATCTCTTATAATTTTAATAATTATAGAAACATCTTTTAAGAATATGCTGATTTATTTAAATTTTTTATTAAATTTTTATAATTTTATAATTTTAATAATTATAGAAACATCTATTATTAAAAAAATTTCATTATTAATCTTCTGTTAATTTATTTAACAGAATATGTTGATATCATGTATTATGAGTCAAAAATTTCAATATTGCCCTTATATATTCAAATAGTAAATTTCACTCAAAGTTTTACCAAAAAAAAATTAATAAAGACTCATACATTATTTTAGTAAGAAAAATTTAGCCAAAACTCATATATTGGACCATTGTTTTAAGAAACTGATAGTTCAATTTATTTTATTTCATAAACCTTCTAAGGAAGAGACGCGTAGTTGAGTAAGGATAAAATAAAATATCTTTTTTTTTTATAATATTACCAAAGTAACATGTTACTGTTTACATCAGTTTTTACAGTAATTTTTTTTGTTTTTAAGATTTTTCATTGTCAATATGGATCATATTTGATAGATCTTAATGAGAGGATTTTAAAAATATTAATTTTATTAAAAATTGACATCTAGATCAAAATTTATATTATTTTAAAATTTAATATTTTAGTAATAGTGGTATGTGTTAGACTTTACATTGAAAACTTTTTGTACTTATCTGTAGCGCATTAAAATTTTATTATGGAGGCTTTGATCGAATCCCCCTTTTACTAATGTTGAACAAAATTATTAAATTCTATGTAATATTTTAAAAAAATTCTAAATTGTTAACATATTATAAAAATATTTAACCAAAAAAATATAATTTTCATTGATAAAATATTTAAAAAGAAACCATATCGCTAAAATTAATGTTATTATAGATAATACGTTAATAATTTCACATAAGATTTATTTCACACTACATAAACAATATAAAATTTATTATTTGAACTAACGTATTTATTGTTTGAACTTTTTTTTTTTCCAAGAAAGTTAAAACAAATTAAGTTCTTTATTTTTCATTTTTTAAACAAAATGAATTTTTTGGATCCGTGCAGCAACCCTTAAATATTTCATATATTTGTACTTGGGTCATATTTTACTCTATAATTTGGATATATTTTCAATGCTCTATGTTTTGCTCTATAAGATGAGAAAATAATAAACCTTTCGTATTATAATAAAAAATTAAAGATTAACATATTATATCGTACATTGTTATTAAACCCTAACTTAGATCAATAAATATGTTTAAACAATAAATAATAAAAAAAATCAATCTATTGTAAAAGGGCAATCATTGCTCATTTCATTCCATAGAACCAAAACCTTTAAGATGACAAGCATATATATAGTAGAACAACCATACATTACCTAATCTAAAAATAAAAAATAAAAAAAAGAAGAAGAAAAAGAGTCAACAATTGATAACTATCAAATCTTATACTAAATTAAATACAATTCTTTATTTAAAAATTGAAAAACAAAATGTAAAAGGTGCCAATTTTTATTTTTTTAATACTTATTTTGAGAAATTAGAGTTTGAAAAAAAATTTAAAAATACATATAGGTATTTGATTTTTTTTTTCTATATGAAAAATACCTATTTGGAGTAATTATCCCTCTTTTTTCAATTTATTTATTTTGTTTCTTTCATTTTTCTTTCTATTTATTCTCTCATTCATTTTTTCATAGTATCACTG